CATGCATTTATAATATGCAACTTCTAAGCATTAATAGAATAGCTTCAAAATATTTTTTAAAAAACAGAAAAATTTCGTTTAATTAGAAAATAATACTTTCCTTGGCAATATAATATGACATAAATACCGAGGTTCGACTATTACAAACAATAAGCTTAATTGCATTCAAATACGAAATAACTGTAATTTTTCAAGTCAAAGTATTTTACAAAAATATTTTTAAAGTACATATTCGTACATATATTATTTAAAATTCATAGACTTTTGAAAATCTTACGATTTTTGAATTTTAAAAATTTTTATAAATATTAAGAATATTAAGCTTAATTGCAGCTATATAATATTCGAACTTCAATGTTGCTACTTACAGTAAAGAATATTTTTGCAAATTTTTCAAATAAAAGTTTTTTAATAAATAACTTACTCTAGTTCCTTCTAAATTTTCTGACATCTTAAAAATCTGAAATTTTTTAATTGCAATAGTAAAATTAAAACTGCGAATTATCCCTTAATTCTTTAAAATCTTAGTTTGAATATTTAACAAAATACTGTCAAAATATTACTGCATTTTTAAAAATTCATTTCTAAAACTTCGTGCAGCATTTTAATAATCAAATTTACTGCAAAATAAGTACTAGAACTCAATGAATTATTAAAAATACTCTCTTTTAATGAGAAAAACTGATAATAATTTAGTTGTGGTACATTCATCATATTTTAGGAATAATTTCAGGAATTAAAGAATAAAGATTAGTCAGACTGCTTTTTCGAAAAAATATCCTAAATATAAAATAATTTTTTATACGATTATAATTTAAAATTTACAATATTTTTTTTATATTCAAATAAAATTCATTAATTTAAAGATTTATTTCAATTTATTTTTAAATTTTTTTTTTCCTATTTTATATATTTATTTCATTTTTTTTTTTAAATTTTGTTTTTAAACATTTTCATGGTCAACATATATATTTAAATTAATTATACTTATTACATTTTTTTTTCTTGTTGTCAACTAAAACTATCTAATTGATAATTGAATTCCTTTTGTAATTTTTCTTTTTATTTTCTTTCTTTGCTTTTGTCTTAAATATTTTTTTTTTTATTATCTGTTCAAATTTTATTTTTCTCTTTTCCATAAAATAAGTATTTGAAATTTTCTTTTAATTAATATAATAAGGTGAATGCGCAGTCTGTAATTTATTTTTTTATATTTTATTAATGATTAAAATTGAAAATTATTATTGTAATTAATTTGCAAATATATGTGTATACTTAATTAATAATTATTGTGTGAAATTTATAAATTTAGCTGAAAAGTAACAAATAATATTTTTAATAATTCTAATAATAATCATATGTTAATGAGATAGTATACTGATATTATAAATAATATTTAATTGTAGTTAATTAATTAAAAAAAAAATTCTTTTTTTTTTTTATATAATTATTATTAATGAAAAGGAAATATGTTATATAGTAAACGCTATATATTATAATAATGATCTATTGATTTTAAATTCACTTATAAAGTACTGAATGTCGTATAATGTAATCCTTAAAAATTAAATTTCCACTTCTATAGTTAAAAAAACTTATTGTATTTAAATTGTAATTTGTTACCTTTCGTGCTAATTAGCTATATAAGTATGTATTTGAAAATTATTTCTTTAAAAATCAAACTATATTTTAGTAATATTTTATATTTTGTATTATTTTCTTTCTTTAAATAAAAATAAAAGCTAATTAATATGAACAAATAAAAATTAAATGAACCCCCCTTTAATTTTATATTTCATATTATTTTTGAACTTGAAAAATAAAATTACATTATTCTTTAAATAAAAAAAAAAAAACGCAAATAAAATATAATTAAGTAATTTAAATTTTATTTTATATTTATTTTTTTTTTTATTTATTAGGCAAGTGCTCGTCAATAATAAATAATTAAATCAATTTTTATAATCAAAAATTTTAAAATCACTTATAAATTACAAAAAAAAATATATGTATACAAAATTAAATTTCAAAATTTTTATAATTTTGTAAAAATAATTATTATATTGCATTTGATTAAAATAAAAAACAAAATACTTTTAACTCAATTTAAAATTTATCTATTAAATTTTATTTAAATTTTGTGACAAAATTCTTACGTATATTCTTATATAAATGAATATGTAAATATTTTTTATTTGTTAATATTTTACTATTAATAAACAATTAAAAAAAAAAAAACATTTTTTTTTTAATTTTGAATAAAAATTAACTAAAACAAAAAAAAAAAATAACCAATAAAAATAAACAAACAAAATTAATTAAATTATATATAAAAAAAAATATTAATTTTTGGTTTACGCAGCTAAAAATACTTATAAAAGAAAATGACTGTATCATAGACGAAACAGCTAAAAAAAAATAATAGAAAGAATAAGTAATTTAAAAAATAAAGAAAATAAATTTTGTTTTTTTTTTAATTTTAATTTTTATATTGAAATTCAAATGAAATAAGAAAATGAAAGGCAGTATTAAATTTTATCTTGTCTATGGAAAATTATTTCAAAAAAATCTTAGAATTAAAAATGGCTAGCCAAATATATTAGAATTTTAAACAATTAAATTGTTAATTTAAAAAAAAACAATTGTAAAGTATCCGAGAACTTTAAAAAACTAATTAAATAATTAATAAAAATAAACTGCAAATTTCATGAAATCAAATTTGTTGAAATTTAATTTTAAAAAAATTATGTTTTAATAAAAATTTACAATAATTATAAACCATTTAAATTTCAAATTTCTATTAAAAAAATTGTTTTTTAAAAGTTCCAAGAATTTTTAAATTATTTTGAAAAAAAAAAAACAAAACAAAACTAAAAACTTAATAGGAAAACTTTGTGTTTTTCATAAAAATTAATAAAAGACCTAAGCGAGAAACTTTATTAAAATTGCAATCTGCGCTTAAACTACAATCCCATAACTTTATTAATGCAATTTCCAACATATGCTGACCGCAGAAACAGAGAATCCTATCTACATACTGGACATATTCAAGTAGATTTAGAGAAGACAAAAAAAGATTTATTATTTAATACGAAGAATTAAGAAAAATCAATTTAATCAGAATTAAATTTTATGAATATTTTTATACAAAATACAATAGTTAAATATTAAACTAAAATATGAATTTAATTAATGAATGTATAATTTGCGGCAGCTTATTTTTCTCTTTTAAAAATTTAAATAAATTATACAGATTATTAAAATTAAATTAATTATTTTATGTTAAAAATGTAAAATAAAGATTTTGAAATGAATTTAATGAATGTGATTTTAATGCGACTTTTTAAATGAAATTTTTTGATGTGAATCAGAAAAACGCAATTATCATTAATTTTTTACTAAAAACAAATAATTTTTAAATGAAAACGTAATCGAATTATGTTGTATATATATTGTAATTAATGTATATAAATTGTATATAAATTTCTTATTTTTTTCTTTTTTAAAATGGGTGTAATTATTGTGAAAGTGATTTTTTTTTTGTTTTTTAATTTTAAATATAGTGTAAATATTTTTAAAGTTCAGAGTGATTATAAAATTTTAAATAACACAACTCCTATAAATGTGATGAAACATTTTTTATGTTTTTTTTTTTGTAAGGTTTTCTTTTTTTTTTTTTTGCAATCTTTACTAAATCTAAAAAAAATCTAATATTCTTTTCTTGTTTTTTATATATATATAATTTTTTTTTTTTCGTGATATAAAAATATTTCAAATATAATTTTAATTATTCATTTATTAATTTAGAATTAATTTTATTTCTAATTATTTTTTTTTTTTTCTTATTATTTCTAATAAATCTTTTTCAGTTTTTCTATTTTTTCTAAATTTTCTGTTACGGCTTTTTTATTTTTCTTTTTGTTAGATTTTTTATAATGTTATTAATGAGTGAAAAATTTATTTTTAGAATAAAATGTTCGGAAATTAAATTTTTGTGGGTGGGAAAAGTGGTGATAGCAGTTAAATGATTTTTAATTAATAGATTTATGTATATTTATGTTAATTATTTATAAATTAATCCAACTAACGATTGTAATTAGAATAATATTGAAAATGAAGGCCAAATTTTATATATATTTTTTTTTTCTTTATAAATATTATGTAAATACAAATATATGTATATATACAAATTCATATATACAAGATATAAAATATATTATATTTTAATAAAATATAATTTTAAATGAACTTCTTGTATAAAATTATTCTCCAGTTGAATTCAAACTCAATTTTGCTTTGATTTTAATCGAAACATATTTATATAGGTGATTTAATAACATATAATTTGTTTATAATATAATCATATTTATAATCTATTTAGAAATATTAATAGTTTACAATATTATTATAAATCTGTGGGAAAAATAAGTATCCAAAAATTATACAAAACCCTATTAATACACAATTCAGCTTTATTGTAATTGCAAAATTACGAATAGTTTAATGATAGTAAAATATAAATTTAATCTTATGTCGACTTATGCTACTTTTTACTTTCACCACAGAAATCAAATTAAAATCAAATTGATTTTATCAAATCAAGCTGAAATAAAAATATAATATTTATCTTATCATATAATATTTATGTAAATATGAATTTGTATATCTATATATGTATTTAATCAATATATTTGTTTATAATTTATATAAACGACTTGATCTAAATCTTAATTAAAATAATTTTTTTTCTCCTATTTAATTTTATTTTCTTGTTTCATAAAAACTTTCATTCATGCAAAAAAAAAAACCTCATTCTCTTATTAATTTAATTTTTTTTACTTTGTATATAAATAATATAATTTAATTGAAGAAAAGAAAAAAATATTCTAATTCTAGCTTATAAAATAAGTGAATTTGAAATTTAAAAAATAATTTGTAAAACATTTTCTTTCCACATTATAAATAATATGTGTACTTTTTTTTTCATATTTCATATTATTATCAATTTTGTTAAAAAATTTTTTTATAATATTATTATATAATATACTTATAAAACTAAACTGACATTTGGTATATTATTACGACTATTAAAATTACCACCATTATTATTAACATTTGTTATAGTATTTATGATATTATTATTTGCCGATATTGTTGTAATTGTAGTTCCAGCTGGTATTCTTGATGTAGCTGTCAATGATGCTAATATAGATGATGCAGATGGTGAAGTTGTTGATGTAAACGTAGTTGGTTTATTAATTTTTAATAATTTTGAATATCGGCATTGTGGATTTAGGCACTTACATGTGAAATATCTCTGTTTAACGGACCAAAATTTATCACCATAATCGAAACTAAATATAATTAATAAAGAAAAAATTAATACCACAAAATCACAATGAACAAAATTCAATAATATATTTACCATAATTCTTCACCATTTGATATGTCTTTTGATGCAAAAAATGCTATTTTTGGAAACCGATAGTCTTGATGATCATAATATACTCGTACGGGTACAATATTTGGTAAACAAGAATGATTAAAAAATCGTGTTAAATTACCATAAAAATTCGCATCAATACAATGTTCAGATGCACCTAATTCAAAAAAGTAACTATCATCTGTACGACGATCTGCTTCTAAATCTGTTAATATTTCACCAATATATTCAGCAATAAATGAACCTTTTGGTATATTAATAAGAGTACGAACACCCCAACCTTTGGATCGTTCTTCACATTCGAAAACTTGTAAAGGAATTTTTATTCCATTTTGTACAACGCGATTTTTGCAAGATAGCTACAAAAAAAAAATCATTTTTGATATAATTTATTAAACTAAAATTTAATTTATTTTTTTTTTTAAATTTATTACCTTATTACATCCACAAACATCATTGCATTCAAATATCATGGCTGGGTCATCAAAATTAAATTCTCCAATCAATCTACCCTCAGGTGAATACCAATTTTGTATTGATATCAAACTGCATTGACATTGATCCGTACTACAGCTTTTAAAATTAATTAAAAAACAAAGTTGAGATACAAAATTAATTTTTTTCATTAAATTAATACCTGTCATTGCAATTGCATACACGCATTTGTGATATCCTCTGATCAATTTGTATTGAATTTTGTAATAAAATTGATTTTGTAATATATTTAAAATCGGGTAAGGGTAGCTCATCTATTTCACTGTTTGTTGAAACACTAGCAGATGATGATGCTGAAGTTGAATCTTTTATATGATGATCACGTTTAACTACTTGTATTGGATTATTTTCACGTCCATTTGAAATATCACTGCATGCAATTTTATTTTTCAATCCTGTTGAACCAAATGAACGCATTTGCATGTTAAAACCAACAGCTCTAGCACATTGACCTGTAGAAAACAGACATTACGTAATTAGATGCAAAATCTGATTTGCAACTATCATTTTTTTTTGTGATATTACACTTACTGTCTTCGCTATCTATGCAATCATAAGGCAATTCACCAGCTTTATTTTTAACCATTAAGTCTGCTCCGTTTGCTATTAGCATTAGGCAAACTCTTGTACTTGATGTTCGGCAAGCGATGTGCCTTAAAATGTATAAATTCATTTGTTAAAAAGTGGAAATTTTATTAATATATTTTTTCAACTAACAGTGGAGTATCACCAGTGATATTTTGAATACTGCAATCAATGTTCGAACGTAAAAGAATAGATATCGTATCTACATGATTAGACAAAGTTGCCCAATGCAAAACTGAATTATTTTCTGCATCACATATATTAGGATTGGCGCCATAATTTAATAATAAACTACAATACAAGTAGTTCGTAAGTTACATTTTCACAAAGTTATGTTTCATAAAACTTTATATTTTTTACCTAACAATTTCAGTAAAACCAAGTTCTGCGGCCCATACAATTGCCGTCCAACCACCATCATCTTGTGAATTGATAAATTTATCGAACTTACATATGCTTGTATTATTCTTATGATTTTCTACAATTAACTGTGCCGCTTCAACATTTCCCAATTTAGCCGCGATATGAAGACATGTCATCCCATCAGGACCCTTAAAAGTTTAAAATAAAAATTATCTGACATGGTCACGTAATCACTTAAATATATTAAGTTATTACCTTTAAAGTTAAATTTGCACCACATTGTATAAGTAACTTTAAAATATCAATTTTTTCCCCAATTATTGAGCACATCAAAGCAGTTCTTAATTCCTTGTCAACCAAATTCAAAAATTCACCAGATGATTCTCTGCACAACAATAAATATGCCATTTGAACTGTTCCGAAATGAGCGACTAAATGTAAGCATGTACCATTTAATAATTCTGACATTTCACAAGTAATGTCATAGCCTGATGCTGAAATTTTTTTATGTCAAAATTTTAAATACTTTACATTATGCTGTATTTACCTAAAATCTCAGCGACTCTTTCCAAGTCGTCATTGTTGACAGCATAAAACATATCACGCGAAGTGAATTCACTTGAGTTAGTTGGTGCCGTATTTGATTCCCTTACAACAACATTCATTACTGATTCAGGTATTAAATTTTCGAGCTCTACACAGACTGGTAATTTTCTTTTAGGTAATTGATGTGATTGTTGACCATCTGATACAGACATTTTTGCCGGCTTACTAAAAGTTTATAAGAAATTTTCGTTTTTATTACATATTTAACTAAATAAAAATTAAATTTTTACTTTAATACTCTTTGACTAGGTAAAAATACTGGTAATGTTTGACATTTCATTGTAACAATTGATGTTTTCTCTGGCGTATCCTGCCCACAGTGTGGGCATTTCAGTACCAATGTTGGACTAGTGTAGTTCGTTGTGTTTGATGGATCGTATGGACTATTCAAGATGAATTTTTGAGCACATTCTGCGTGGAAAAAATGTTTTTGTTGACAGAGAACAAATCTTCCCTGGGTACAAAATATTCCACAATTAGCACAGCAATTATGCGCCCTTAAACGTTTTAAATGATCGTCACACAAAATCATATAACCAACACGCTGACTAGGTCTAAGTAAATTCAATAGTTCACCAGACAATTGATTGCAACATCCAACTACAAATAAATTATAAATTATGCTGTAAATTAAGACGATGAATTGATAATATAAGTTCTTACCTTTTTGTTCTTCAATATTATCAATGGCACAACAATATGCGGTTCCAGGTATATTTCTAGTATAATAGTGAGAAGGTTTTTGACAAAAGCATATTAAATTTTCAGGCACATGAATTCTTGTGGCAATAACAACATTTGGAGGTACTGTTGTAACTACACTCTTTTCGTTATTACTATCAACAGGTTGGGATTGTATCAAACTTTCTTTTGGTTTAGAATGTTGAGAATCAGACATTAATGGAACATTTGTTTGTGAATTATTTTGATTTTTCCTTTTTCTTTGAATACCTCCACTTGTTATTGGTGTTATAGTAACGGAACCTGTAGTTGATATGGGAATTGGACACGGTGTTTTAATACTCGATGGTTTCAATAAATTGCTTATTGAATTATTCACATCATTTTGTTGAACAAATAACTGTTGCTTTTGATTCGGTTGAAGTTGCTGTGGAGGTTGTTGCTGCTGTTGTTGTTGTTGCTGCTGTTGTTGTTGCTGCTGTTGCTGTAGCTCTTGTTGTTGTTGCTGCTGTTGTTGTTGTAGAAGTTGCGGTTGTGATAGTTGAACTTGTTGTTGTTTAACCAAATTAGTCTGATCATTAGTCTTATTATTACTGTTACTATTATTTGTTATATTAGGAGCTGTTTTATTAGAAGAGGCAGCAGCAGAACTTGCATCTTTATTGTTTTCTCTACTACTAGTTGCTCGAATACGTAAAGTAACACTTGTTTTTCCAACATTGATTTTCTTAGAATTTGCTGGAACAAATTCATCTTCACCCGAAGATATATCTGATTCCGTAAGTTCATCTTTTGTATTTCTACGTAAACCCAATTTCTCGAAATGTTTTGTTTTCTGTTTTAGTAAACGACGTTGCTGTTTTCGATTTAATTTTTTATCTTCAGGTGAACGATTTAAATTTAATTTAGCTGCTTTTATTTCATTTAAGAAAGTTTCCGGATCTGGACAAGGTTTCTTTTCTGGTCTTGGAGGGTATACAATTGTTCGAGCTTGCAGTGTATTGCCATTCTTTTTTGAAAATAATTTTTTCTTAACATCATTTGCAATGGCTGTGTTTAATGAACTCCTTTCACTACAAACAGATGAATTTGTAGATTTTTCATTTGAACTTGTAACTGTTGATGATGTTATTATTGATGTACTATGTGTTAAATTAGTTGTTTCTTTATCTTTTTTAATGTTGCTATTGTTATTACCATTATTATTATTATTATTGTTTGATTGTTTAATTGATTCGAGTTCATTTGATTGCATTTCAGTACATGCTGTAATTCTTGCAATATTTTTTGCTTCAAATTCATATCTTAATTCATCGTTTTCAAGAATTTTCGGTGTTGGTTTTATACGTCTAAGAGGACGTTGTGATTTTAATGATGGAATACTGGTATTATTATTTTCTTTGGTTCCTTGTTTTGTTGTTATATTTTTTGATAATGATGTGATTGTTGTAGTTGTTTGTACTGATGTTGGATTTATTGTTACAGGAACAGTTGTTGCCGAAGTTGTAACTATTTCGGTACATGTTGATTCTGGTGAAGTATGTGGTGGTGAATTTATCTCTGTAACATTTGGTGATGGTTGTGGCGGTTGTACTTTTGCTCGTCGACCACGTTTTTTAGGTGGTGATTTTTCGGCTACCACCGGTGGCTGTGTACTTGCATTCTTCTCTACTTTTTCAACTAAATTGAATGATTTTTCTTCAGTTGGTGTTGGAATTTCTTCTTTAATTTCAGTTCCAATTGCAGAATCAGCTTCTTTTGTATCCTAAAATAATAATAAATAAAAATATATTATACTTTAGTAGGAAATTCATGTTAATTATAAAAAAAAAAATTTATTTTAAAGTTTCGCTAAATATTTTTTGCAATGTAAATATTTTTTTTTTTCTTATTTTCATTTAATTTTCCTCATTTATCGAAATAAACTTAAAAAATCCAACAAATACATATAAAGGAATAAACAAGTATTTTAAATTTTTCGTCTTTTTTTCTATTTTTTGTTTATTTGAAAATTTTAAATAACTAACATAACTAAATCTAAAATCTATACAGTATGTATTTCGAAATTAATTTAAAAGACCTTCAGTAAGTGGAAATGATGACAAAAAGCTTATCAAATATGAAATAAGTAAATTAAAAAGCTTTTATTTCGTGCATTTTATTTCAAAGTTTCAATAAACTTTTCGTCTTTTACTTGTTTTATATATAAAAAAAAAAAAGTAATTTTTTATTTTATGAATAAACCTTGATGATGTTAGAAGATCAAAAAATAAAAACAAGACAAGAAATTTTTTTTTTCTTTATTTTTATTTAAAATTAATTGTTGCAAAAATTGGAAAGTTTCAAGAAATAAAAGTAAAAAAAAATCAAAGGAAAAAATAAAATTACAGAAAACCTTTGAAAAAAAAATAAAAACTCTGCAAAATACCAACAAAATTATTTTAGATGTAAAAGAGTAAAAAAATATTTAGATTTTTTTTAATTATTTTTATGATTACTAAACGATTTTTCAAGCTACACAAACTGGTTTTGAATATTTTCTTCTTTTGTTGGTTATTATTTTATTGAAAATAAAGATTTTATTATAAAATTAATTTATCGCAATAATTTTCATTACAATATTCTAAAATTAAACATTTTAATATTTAAATTATTATTAAAAATTTTAGTTATTACAAAATTTTCTCTTGAAATATTTTAGAAAAAAGATGCTTATTTAAAGAGAAGAAAAAATATTTCCAACAATTTAATTTTTAATAAATTTAATAAGGATTTTTATATAACTTGTGCATTAAAATCAAAAAATATGTGAACGACCTAGTAAAAAGTTTTAAATTACAAAATAAAAAATTACAGACGATTGCAATGGTTTAAATAAATACATATTTAGTATTTTCTTTTCAATAATTGATTTACTGGTATATCTAAAACAAAAAAAATTGTGAAACGAATTAATAAAATAAATAAGAAAAATATTTTCGAAAAAATATTATTAAATTATGCACTAGAGTTCAGGATCGAATATATTTTAGTGTAGCAAAAAATATTAGTACAATATAATATCCGTCACAGATTTGCCCAAACTCTCAAATGTTAGTCTAAATTGCTGCTCTGTTACATGAAGACCCTTTCATTTTTTATTTAATTCTACACTGAATAAAGCTAAATATTAAATATTCCAAATTAATAAATTATGTTCTTTATGGAATTACCACATACCTGAAATGTATATTAGCTTTTTAAATTATACAAAAAAATAGCAAAAATAATTTAATTTTAAATCTTAAAATTAATTAAATAAATATTTCATTACATAAATATCGATAAAATTTATTTCATGTCACAATGTTATTAGACTCTTCTCTAAATATTTAAATGTAATAATGTTTTGCTGCAAAAATTTATAATAGGAACAAAAATTAGAAAAAAATTAATAATAACTACAAATGACTGTTTAGATAAGATAAAGTCTTAGTATAATATATGCTCCCTATATTTCTTAATTTGGTTAGATATTTTCATAATATGTACATAAGTATACAAAAATATATAAACATAAAATGAACAAAAAAACTCCTCATTTAGGATCAAAATATATTATATACAACATATATATATATATATCATATATATTTATACAAAGTATAATATTATGAAGGTGTTATCTGGATCTTATCAACAGAAGAAATATAAGAACATAAAATAATATGAAGAAAGAAAAAAATAACAAAAAACGGTCGAATAACTGAGAAGTCCGAGAATTACATATTTCCTACATACTTAAAATTATTTTATATTGTATATATAGAATATTATTGATACCAAAAACAAGATAAAATAATCATATAGCTTGATTAGACACTATATATGTGAATAAATAGATACACACACACGTAAAATTTATCTCCCTTTTCAATAATTATCTCGTTTGGTTTGATCGTTTTCTTTTTTTCTTTTAATAAAATAACTGATGATTCATCGAAAATTATTTTGTTTTCTGATTAGGAAACTTTCTTTTTTAAATTTGCATTTTTAATACTATTCTTTAATTACATATTATTTATGTGAAACAATTTGAAAAATCTACCATTATACTTGAATTAAAACTGAATTTTGATTTATTAATAAATTGCAGCACAATTTCCAATATCTTAAATAAATAAACAGAAAAACAGGGAAATTACCAATTTTTCATTATTTTAATAAGATGAAATTTGTAAAGTATGCAAATAAGAACACTTTTTGCAAAGAAACTTTTAAAATATCATACATAATAAATGTATATGTGTTCACATATCTGGTCATATACATCTATTATAAGAATTCTTAGAAAATTTGATAAAAACTATTTCATTTATATTATTAAGTTTTTTCATTATGCTTAATATATTTGTTTGATATCAGGATTCAAAGTTATAGTATGATGATCTAATATTTTCATCATAATTCAATACACCTAAATAATCCCATAAAAAAATTGAAAAGAAATCACAGAATTCTATTCCAAAGCAAAAAAATTTGCTTCAAACTCTGAAAAATATTTTAGAGTTTGAAAGCAAATTTTAAACAGTACTTAATTTGTAGGATTATTTCTCCATTTTGGTTGAACATTAACTCAATATATTGTGTTAATTCGGAACTGAAAGCCTCTTCAGTTTTTTTTTTAATTTGATTTTTTAAATAATTTTATTGGTTTCAATTTATCAAAAATTTTTTCAACTTTAAAACTAATACACATTCTAAATTGATGCAAAAAAATTCTAAAAGCAAAGTTTTTTAATCTCTGGGATGATTTAACAGTTTACGTACAAAAAACTCGAATTAAATAATTTACTGTATGGTAAAAATAAAATAGAATATATAAAATTCTTGAATTATTTTAAGAAGCCAATCAAATTCAACTAAAAACTTGAATAACATGGACAAAAATTATGTATAAATATTGGTGTCCATAGAGTTGTAAAATTATAATTATCAAAACTAAAACCGACTCTGTTCAGTATAAGGCCTTTAACAAAGCAACTGTTAACACTAACTCGAAAAAAATTATATAAGTAAATGTGAAACAACTATAAATATTGTTAACAATTGAGTGTTCAATTCAATTGTGAATACTCAAAAAAAAGCGGAAGAAAAAAAATGCGAATTAAAAATTGAATTCTATTAAAATAACAATAATCTCGACTGGAACAATATCCGTTCTTTTTAATTATAATTTTAATATGCCAAAATATCCATTTTCAACTTAATCTTTATGAGCTTAGAAAATTCATTTAAATATTGCAGTATTTAAAAAGGAAAATTTTTTTTTGCTTACATTATTAACTTCTTCATTATTATCCAATTTAACTTCCAATCTAGTGCTACGTCTAGTTTTATGTTTTGGTTGTTGTAATTGTTGTTGCTTAACATTATTACTACTATTATTAATATTTTGAATAATATCTGGATTTTTTATATCTAAATCTAATTTTTTAACATCATTATTTTCAGTAGATCCTGTTGTTGCTGCTGATGTTGTTGTTGTTGTTGTTGTTGTTATACTTGAACTTGTTAATGTTACTGATGTTGTTGTTTCCGTTAAGGCATTTTTAGTTTCATTTGTTGTTGTTGTTGTTGATGAATTTATTTCATTTTTATTACCAGTTATATAATTTCTACGTAATTTTTTTGGACCGCTTGTTGGACCATCATTACTATTATTATTATTACTTGCATTATCATTATTTTTCTTATTTATTGATTCAGTTGTATCTTCAATTGTATTTGTAATTGGAATTTTTTTAGATCTACCACGTCTACGTGGTTGTTGTTGTTGTTGCTGCTGTTGTTGTTGTGATTGATTACTACTATTAGTTATTGCATTTGATGTAATTTTTAAATCATTTGATGTTTCATTTGTTGATGTTGCTGTTGTTGTTGCTGTTGTTGTTACTGTTGTTGCTAATGTTGATGATGATGTTTCATTTGGCCTTGAACGCCTTAAACAACGTTCAGATGGTGATGGTTCAGAAGACTTTTTTTTTTTTTTGTTTTGTAGATTATTTTGGTGTCAAAGCATACATTTATAATTTATAATTTAAAAGAGAAAAAATAAAAAACAAGAAATAATAATTAGATAAATATGTAACCAACAAATAAGCAAGAAAAACAAAAACAAAATTAAAAGCTTTTAAAAAATATTATATAGGAAAACTTCATTTAAAAATAGATGAATCTATTAATATCTAATCAACTTTTTTTTTTCTGTTTTTGCTTTTCTTTTTATTATTTTTTATAAAGGTAATAAATGTAAATAAGAAAGTCTCCACAAGCACACCTCGAACAAAAAAAAAATTCTTTTATTTTTTTGTTTTTTTTCTTGCCCTTAATCCATTAAAAAAAAAAAAATTTTTCAAATAAAAATTCATTGTTTTATTTTCAATTTTAACTAAACTCACCCTTGTTCTTTTAGTTCCAGTTGTTAATATTGTCGCTGTTGTTGTTGTTGCTGTAGCTGTTGTTGACGTTGCTGTTGCTGTTGCCGTTGTTGTTGTTGTACTCGATAAATTATTATTAGTTGCAGGAATTAATGAATTTGTCGTATTAACAGATGATGACGATGTCAATGATGACGGCAACGAAGATGACGACGACGTACCACTTAATTTTTTTGTATTTATTTCATCTATTAAATTTTCTTTTTTTATTTCAATTTTTCCTTTTTCAATATCATTTATATTTTTATTATTATTATCCGAATTTTCTAAATTATTTTTATTATTATTTAAATTATTTATATCGTTGTTTATATTTTTACCAATTTTATCTATTAAATTATTACTATTACTAATATTATTTTCAATTTTATTATTTTCTTGAGATTTTTTTAATTGATCTGATTTCATATTATTATGATTTGTATTATTACAATTATTATTATTATTGATTTTATTATTTTCATTAATATTTAATTGTAAAGAATTATTTGCATCAATATTTGCATCTTCTTTATTTAAATTACATATTTTATTTGATGTTGTTTTAGTTGTTGTTGTTGTTGTTGTTGTTGTAGCAATTGTTGTTATTTTATTAGTAATACTATTATTAATACTATTAATACTATTATTACAATTATTATTATTAATAGTATTACTATTATTAACACCGTTTGTTGAATTTAATATTGAAATATTATTATTATTATTATTATTAACATTTATTGTTGTTGACAATGTTGATGACGATATTGATGATGATGATGATGATGATGATGTTGATGATGTTATATTATTATTACAATTTGTTGTTTGTCCGTCAACTTTCTTTCGACAAGCGTTTTGATTATTTTGCAAAGTTCTCCACTAAAAAAACAAAATAAATAAAACAAAAAGAAGAAAAATAAAATAATAGTAATAGTTTTGGAAAAAGAAAAAATTAAAAATTGTTGTTCATATTATAATATTATAGATTTTGAAAAAAGAATAAACACACACACACATACACAAACGAAAATTTCGTCATATTGAAAGAATTTCTAATAAAATTTGTAAATTGAAATTTTTCTTATTTTTTTCTTTTTCACACAAAATTTTATATTGTTGAAGGCATTCATTATAAATTAAAATATTGTTAATACAAACCTTTAGGGTCTTATCTTCATTTAAATCTAAAACTGAATTATCCGGTGCTGATTTGTTAAAAACAGATGACATAGATTCCAATAAAATTCCTAAATCTGTCATGTCTCAAGATGTCTTTTTCTTAAAATTGTAATTTTTTTGTTTTTGCTTTGCTTGCTTTTTTTTTTAAAAATATTTGTTAACTTTTTTTTTTGCTCTATTGTTGCAGCTAATTAACAATTAAAAAAAAAATTTAATTATAATTTCAATTTTTTATTTCCTTTTTCTTCTTTGATTTTCAATTCTTGTTTATTTAGACACTCAAAAATAAAACTAGGAAATTTTGAAAAAAAATTTTTTTTCTCTTAATTTCTTCTCATTTTTTTTTTTTTTTTTATACATTTGGCTCATTTTCACACTTCCATTTTATAATTAAATTTTTTTTTTTCTTTATAGTACAAATTTTGTTTTTTTTTTGTTTTACATACTTATATACATTTACACTATATAATAAAATTGAAATTTTTTTTTTTGGATTTGTCCTTAGCCTATATCTTAAGATAAAAAAAAAGAGAAAAAAAAAATTGGTAATAACACGAATAAAATATTTGTTTTTTTTTATTTCTTTATTGAATTTTTTTTTCCAATATCCCTCAACTGTGTCCAATAATGTAAGTATGTATATATAAAAAAACAAATTTTATATCCAACTTGATCGAAATGAAAGAACATGGAACAATTGTGTCTTAACATCACAAAAAACAGAAAAAACACTAACAATAAAAAATTCCTACCGACTTCAAGAGAGTGAGAGGAAAAAAATATTATAATAATAAGAAAAAAAAAAAAAAAAACAGAAACAAAAAGAAAAAAATAAAGAGTCTAAAAAGCTGAAGAAAAAAAAAATTTCCACCTTAATTTTTCTTTTTTTTTTTTTTTTAAGTTTTTCAACTTCACTTCTTTGAAATTTATTCAGACATTTATTATGACTTTTTTTTCATTGCACACATTTTTCGAATAATTTATTAAAATATATTTTCAATATTTCACTTTCTTTTCAAAAATATTTTTTTTCTAATTAGATATTTTTTTTTTATTGTCTTTTCTTTTCCTATAATTTTTTTTTTAAATGAGGAGCACAAAAAATTTATTCAACCCCATGATAACAAAAATTTACGAACTTTCAAAATTATATATTTTTTTTTTTTGTTGTTTTTCTTTCGTTTTTTCTGTTGTTTTATTGTTTTTCTCATATTATTTGACATTGGAGAGTTTTGTTTTTGTTGTAAACTTAATTTGTAATACAATAAAATGTCAAATATTTTGAGTTTCTTTAAAAATGATATAGATGTCAGTTGGGATGTTAAATTATTAGATTAATTTTTAACGAAGGAGAAAAAAATTTGTACAAAAAATGACAAGTTAGAATTTTTTTTTTTTTGTGTATTGTTTATTCACAAAATCAAAACAATGGATTTTTGTTGAATTTTTAAAAATTTTTTGTCTAATGACATCTTGATAAAATGTGTGTATTATTTAAACAAAAATTTGTTTGTATGTGCTTTTGAATTAGTTAGGCGGGTAGTAATAATTTGTATAATTGCATTTGGTTATTGTATATGTACAAAGCTTCACATATGTTAGTACCTACAATTTTATATTTATACCTGTTATTTGTTCTATGTACATATATAAATTTATTGTTTATGTACATATTTATATCATAAGTATGTACATAACACAGATAATTTCAAATAAAAACAAAAACATTCATTATATTTCCTTAATTATTAAATTCAATATAACAATATTGCCTTGCATTTCACTTTATCTCATACAGAAACAAAGTATTGTGGTATACAATATGTATGTGGAACATAAGTAGGTAAAATTTACAAAAACAAAAGTCACTTAAACCGTAAACAGATTATATGAAATTTTTACTTTTATAAAAATTGTTTAATTACTTCGTATAAAACCAAAACCAAAGCGGTATGCGGCAACGGCAGACAATTTTCATTGTGAATGTAGTAAAACAAGAGCGGAACTGCAAAATCAATTGCCACAAACATGGAAACAGATAATGCCAAAAACAAAATGTCTGCGGCAAATTAGGAATTAAGGATATTTTACCGCGGGGGGTAAAATTTGCGACGGTAATTTTGTTTAGTTCTTGGCAATTCGTGTATTCTATATGAATTTTGACATTTCGCAGCGGAAAATATTTTTTGTTCTACTTTCAACTTTACTTGGTGTTTTTAACTGCGAGATTGTAGAATTACAAAAAGTTTGTAATTTTTTTTTTTTTACAGTCAAATTGCAACTTTTAATTGTATTTTACTGTTGCAATAGTTTATTTCTTTACATGGTTATATGCCGTGTTAGTTAATTTGCGAGTTTTTCTAATCTCTTTTCAGCATTGTTTAAAATTTTTCAAATTTATTTTGTATTAACTTTTTTGTTATATGTGATAATCTTTTTTCAATTAAAGCAATATATGGTTAGATAATATTGTTGAAAGGCATTCAATTGCTGTACCTTTAATACATACATGTATACATTGTCCGTCAATCCGAGAACTCTGATTAGATTTATAATCTAACATGATTAAAATAAAAATAAATATATATACAAAGTGAAATAATCAGAATTATAAAGAGAATAAATCAGAAATCAATCATCATAATAGTACAGTTAAAGCTAAAATTATATTATAATCGTAATAGAAATCAAAACGCTTTCCTATTTCTTCTTAAAAAAAAACAAATTCCTCTTATCAAATTGGTATAAAAAACTTAATAACACATCAATTCTCTGTATTAAATTGTGAACACTAATTGTACCTCTATTGTGAATATTAAAATTGTTTACAATTGTGAATTTTATTTATCGTCAATATATTTTCGTTAAATAAAATTACATTTTTTGACATGAAAAATTAAACAAGTACTTTTGTTTGTAATGGAAAAATGTATGAGAACAATTTGTTGGCACACGTCATTTTGTACTATAGAACATATTATTAAAATTGACAGTTCAATCATTAACATGTTTTCTTATCCAAAAATTTTGTATATATTATTTTTCATCTTTTAAGCATTTTTATTTTACAATCACTGCAGCGTATTTTAAAAAACGTAGAAATATGCGGAAAAAAAATAAATATTTTTCGATTTAATTCAACTCTAAAATTTAAAGAGAAAATGTTCATTTGAACGATCATTCAAAACCAATCAAACTGTCAAATTGAAAAAAAAAAATCTGACATCCACAAAACTACAAAGTGGGTAAAGTTCAGTTCATGTCCTACATTAAAAATTAATATCGTAAAAAATTATGAGCTAATTCAGTTTAAGTGTAATAGCAATTAAATGTGTTCATATTCGCTGTAGATCTCCATTTTGTTCTAGAATATTTAAGGAGAAATTAAGTATATAGATATCTACATAAAATTTATATAAATAAATACTTGGATTAAGTACAAATTCGAATTAGTCCTTAACGTGACAATAGAACATGAGCGATTTTCAATCTGACGAAATGTCAAAATCCATATGGGCTATAAATATTTAAATGGGACCGGCGAGAATTAAGCTAAATTACCGCCGGCGTTAGTTAAGCTTAATTTTCTACTCTACCGCTGTCATTTATTTTTACATTTAATCTGTTTTTTTTTTATTACACTCAGCTTTAAATTATGAGATTTTTTAATTTAATGAATAAATAATCAAACTGAAAATTTGAAACCAAAACGAAAACAAAAACAAATTGTGATTTATAGACCCACAACTACAAATTAAGTAAAACTACATATGTATTTTATGAATGAATATCTAAAATTTTATGAAAATTCAGTACAAACGAGACAATGTTGTTTTACATGTAGTAACTAATTCCGGTAATGAATTGTTGCTGTTAGGGGGTTTATTTAATAAGTACTTAATTAAATTTGAAAGAATAGATGCATATTTCCAAAATTAGCAATTAAATTAAAACTGAAAAAGGGAAATCATAATATTAAATGAAATAATTTTACAAAACAAAGGTCTCTGAATTTATTTTCACATATTCACTAACAAAATACATGTATACGCTTTAAACTACAAACAAAACTTTAAATTGAAATATAAATGATTTACATTTTTGCTTTACAAAAATATTTCATTAATTAAATTTAATTTTCTTATATTTTTTTTTTTTTTGGTCCTTCTTACACTTGAAGTCTATTATGTTATTCTACAAATTTCTCAATTTTAATTGTAATTTTATACAATTTTTCTTATAATTTTGAAATCATTTTAATTATGATTATAATTTACATGCAAAATTCTATAAAATTTTATGATATGTAAGTAAAGTTACATTTTTCCTTAATTATTCGAAAATACAGGCACAACAATTTATTTTTAATATATTTTTACTAATAATTATCATTTAAAAAAAAAATTAATTAAAATTTGAAAATGAAATCGCCTTAAAAAGCAGAGATTTTTTTCACAATTATTAACATATAACAGAAATATATGGTTTTATTTTACCATAATAAAAATTAGAAAAGTTTTAATTTATCAAAAAAGAAAAAAAATCTTTTATTCTTTGTAAAAACTTTCAATGACTTCTTCATACATTTTTGCAACATGACTTCTTTTCAATTTAAGTGTTGGTCCTAAAAACAAAAAAAAATTTATTAGACTTTGATAGTATTTTATTCAAAATCAATTTTTTTATACCTAATTCACCAGTTGGAATTGAAAAATCATGTGGTAATATAGCAAATTTTTGTACTTTTTGTGCATTTGATATTGCATGTTGATTGGCTCTTGCAATTCCATCTGTAATCGATTTCCAAACTCTTGGACATGGTCCAGCATCCAAAATTTCTTTAACTGTTCTATGTTCAACACCAAGTTCTTTCATCCATAATAAAGCTTCTGTTGTTAGTTCATCTTTTGGTGACATATCAATTGGATCTATTTCAGTCTATGTGATAAAAGAGTAAAATAAAAATTTCAGTGTTATTATATTATGACTTAAATTTTTTATATACATATGTATGTATATTATACTTATACCTTTATTGTTAATAAAATTGTTAAAAATTTCTTTCGATCTCCAACTAACATTGCATTACTTATTCCTGGTAATTCAGCTTTAATTAAATCTTCTACATGTACTGGAGCAACATTTTCACCACCAGCTGTTATTATTAATTCCTTAAGGCGGCCTGTTATTGTTACAAATCCTTTGTCATCAACATATGCAATATCACCAGAATGCATTAAACCTTCTTCATCTAATGCTTCTTTTGTTTTTTCTTCATCTCCAACATAACCAATAAATATGTTTCGACCACCCATACATAACTGTTGTTAAAAAATAAAAATAATTAAATTTGTTATAAAATAAAATTAAATTAATATACTTCTCCATGTCCATTTTCATCTGGATTTATAATTTTTATGTCACAACCAGGTAATGGTGTACCACAAGATTGCATATTAATTGGTCCAGATAGTGGGCAAACAATATGTGGTGCTGTTGTTTCAGACATACCAAATGCATCTAAAATTTTCATATCTAAACTAAGAAAATATTTTTTAGTTTCTAATGATATTGGTGCTGCTCCACTTGCAAATATCATACAACGATCAAAACCTAAAGCATATTTTACTCTAGATATAATAAAATTTCTTGCAAATTTATATGCCCAACTTTCATTAGATTTCCTATATTTAATAAATAAAATATTTAAAATGAAAATTTTAAAATTCAATATTCCATGTATGTAGTTCCATACCCAGTTGTTAATTCAGTCATATAATGTCTTAATATAACATTTTTACCCCATGATGCTACCATTTTTTTTAACATACTACTCTGTAATGATACAGATGCAATTTTTTCTTGAAATTTTTCATATACTCTTGGTACACCAAGAAATATTGTTGGTCTAGCATCTTGTAATGTTTTTACTAAAGTGCCTTTAAGTGCATCACGATCTGCAAACCATGTACATGCAGCATTTGCTAATGTTACATAAAAATCAAGAACTTGTGCAGCAACATGACTAAGTGGTAAATAAGAAACAACAACTTCTTCAGCTGCTTTAAAATTATTAAAACGTTTTGTTATTGCTTTAGCTACAAAAACAATATTATCATGAGTAATCATAGCTCCTTTTGGTAAACCAGTTGTTCCAGACTAAAAAAAAAATTAATAAATGAATTTCCAAAAAAGTAACTATCAATCAAATACAAAAATTTACAGTAAAAACCATTGAACAACATTCATTAATAGCAATTTTTCCCAATCTTTTTTGATATTCTTCATTGACATCTTCAACATTCATATGTTCAAGTTCAGCATACTAAAAGCAAAAAAAATTCATAATTTTTTAAATAAATTAATAAAATTCATGTTTGTATATAAAATTTACTCTATAATAACCATCATCTTTTTTAACATATGTTGCATATGGTCCATTCAATTGTACAACAGCTTTTAACATTGGTAAATTCTTTTTAATTTGATGAATTTTTTCCATTTGTTTGGCATCATCAACAATAACAATATTTGAACGTGATACATCTAATACATGTCGAACAGCTTCAGCTGAATTTGTTGTATATATACCAGTAACAATTCCATGAGCATGTACTGCTGCCAAACCTGATATAAACCATTCCGGGCAATTAAATGCTAATATACCAACAGAATGATGTTCTTCAAGACCAAGTTTTATAAATGCTTTAGCAATTTGTTCAACTTTATTTTTATATTCGCTGTAATTAAAATTATTTTATATTAATTAAATTTATTTTTTGTTTTAATTAGAATAAAATTTCACCTGTATGTTATTGGTGTCCATTTTAATTGTTCATTTTTATACATAAGAGCTGGACTATCTGGATATTTTTCAACAATATCATCAAATAGTTCTACAATGGACATTGGTTCAATTGATGGTTCCTTTTCTAACCTTAATTTAACTGGTTGTTCTGGATCTGTTGTCCAATAAACATTTGATGGTTTTATTAAACCTTTTACTTTTGTTTTTAATTCAGTTTCCATTATATAATTTTAGATGGCGCTATATTTTACGATAATAAATTTTTTATATAAGTAGATGAAATTTTTATCTTTAATCACGTATTCTGAAATTAAAATTTAATCTTATCAGAATTTCATTAATGCTTCAATAAACTTAAAGATCAAGGTTTTTATTTTTAAAATTTGTAAAAGATAATTTCAAAATTAATTTAGGTTTTTTTTTTTTTCGTTTTCTTAATCCCACATTTTTTTCAAAACAATTGAAGAAATCCAAAAGTAAATGGCTGATAAGAAATTCATTTAAGAATGGAATGTGCTTCTACTGTTAGAAATAGAACAATATTATGTAGTATGTAGGATTTTTACAATAAAAACTTAAAAATTATTTTATCTCATAGTAAATAATTTCATTTGAATAATGTGAGTAATATTGTGAACATACGCTAATTATAATGTTATTATGTAGGATGACTAAATGCGTAATTATTTATTAGAGGTGTAGTGAAATATTGAAGTATATTGAAAATATTATACTGGTATTAAATCTGGAACAAATTCAAAGATAAGAATTTATTATAATGATTTATGATATACAATACATACAAACATATACATATGTATACATAATTACAATATACCATGATGATAACGATTACATATGGTTGAGAAATGCAAAATATTATTTAACAATATTATGTACATATGCAACAGTAAATTTTGATTTGTTTTATATTTTAGTGTTGCCAGACGGTTTTTTTTTCCATTTTTTACATTTGCTTATTTCATTGTTGTATGCATATATGTACATAGTTATTGCATTGTACGATAATCTTAATCAGTTAAGTTCTTAATTTTTATTAAGTGATTAATAATTTTTCACTATAAAGGGGTAGACTTCAATTTGCGGCTAAAGTAGAATAAGATTTTGCTCATAGTAATAAATATTAGATACATTGAAAATATTAGAATCAAAAAAATTTTTTTAATTTTTACAAGATTCCGAAGCAAATACTACATTCTGTGAAATTCCAATAAATCGAATTTTTTATTTTTAAATTAAAGAAAGATTAGCTCACAACTCATTCATACATACATTTGTATTTGTAAAAGATATCAATAAAAATCAAGCATCAAAAATTTAACGAGGAATAACTTATAAATTTATGTATATTAAGGATTTGACATTTATTAATTTTAAACTACATATATATAAAAGCTTCTAAAGAAATCTACCGGACTATACGTTCGTTTTAAAAATAAATGTTTTTAATCTAATGTCTTATTTTATAATGGTTTGCAGTTTAAAGTGTTATATCCCTCGATTGTTATGTGTTTAGATTGTTATATACATTTAAATGGAACGTAAATATTTATAACAGAATCGAAATTATATTTAAAATCATATTTAAAGTATATTTAATACCTTTAATTAAATTGTCTTAGTTAATATAATTGAAAAATAATATTAGTTTTATTCATAAATTGTTTTTATATTATATTGCAATAGCTCAATTTTTTCTATATCAAATGTTCTATTTGTTGTAAAAGCTTGGCAACCCTATAATGCAAAATAATATAGAATTATTGTGTATATTCATACTGTATTATCATGTAATGTACTTGATACGAATTATTTTATACTTTATTATTTTGTTATAAATTATGATGCATTCCAAATGCAATTAATAATTATTATGATTTTTGTTTTTCTGCTCTATGATATTTTATTAAAAAAAAACAAATTTTAGATAGTCCATATTAGAAGCTATAAAATAGTAGTAGATCTATGAATGCATACAGTTTTTATTACTCAGAAAATTTATTGCACATAATACTTATGTATTGTAATTATTATATGATTAATATTATTTAATTTATTACATTTATAGTTATTTATAAATAATCAAATTGAGACTTTGAACTGATCATCACTATTATTAAGAAAGATCTAGACAATATAGTATGAATTATTCACATATTATGTAAAATGGAGAAGAAAATTTATGTGGTCGTACAATGGCTAACTAATATAGATTATTAATTACCATTAAAATTAAATTAAATTAACATAATTGAGTAATTAACAGTTGCTATTGAGATCTTATCAGGTGCTATAAGAGATCTTTATCCTTAAATCATAAATATTATATAATTTTAAATCTAAATTTTATTAAAGAACATTTTGATTTTAGAATATAAAATTATGGAATTTTAAGGTTATGTATTAATTTTGCAGAGTACATGATATTTTCAATAATTTTGGTAGTAAATTATAATAGAAATAATTATTATGAATAAAAATAATAAAATTCAATTTTATTAACAGAAAATAATGTTAGTTTATTATACTAACACTGTTTTCTGTTATAATAACACGTTTAATATTTCATTTTTCGTAAGTATGTGCACAAAAACATTCTATACATAATTAAATTATAATAATCCGATTAGGTGATTGATAACTTAAATGTTTCTTTGATAATATTGTATTTGAGCTATAAAAATAAAAATAATGAAAAAGAATTTAATTTAAAATTGCATTGATTAAGGCATAAAGTAGGTGACTCTCTGGCTACCATACCATAATGGTGAATTCTAAAAAACACACAAAATTAAAATACAAATTAAAAATTTTATAATCTAACTTCGTGTATTTCTATAGTAAATTTTCTAATAAATTCTAAACAAAAAAATAATTAATTATTACTCTTATCTTCGAAAATTTTAAATAATTTGACGTAAATATCCAACAAAATACTCTTAGTATATGGTAATATAGTTTTTATAATAATAAAATATTTTATAATAATATTAATTCACGTTCATTGTAATATGTATGTATGTTGATTAATAATGCCCCTAACGACCGATCGGTACATTTTTATAATAATAATCTCTTTTTTTGATGGCCTTATACTTAAGCAAAAAAAAACATTTCGAACTTTCATTCTTATCTCTTAGAGGGTAGTTAAGACGTATATATATTTTATTATATTTTAGTACACCTGCTATTTATAGGCATTTTATATATATATATACATATAAAAATTTAATTTACTACGCGTTCATTTTTAAAAAAAAAAAATTTTAAATTGTAATTAAAATTTTTAAAGTTCATTAGTAAACTATTAATCAAATGAAATAACCTTATCAGTATTATACCTTTCAAAATTGTGAATTATAATTTTATTTTGAAAAATAAAAATTGCTTTTGCTCAAAAACAAAAGCTATATATAATAAATTAAAAAGGCGAACTATGGTACAATGGCACTTAAAATTATGTTTTATGTAATTATAGAATAAAATTAATTATAAAATATTTTTAGTTTAGAGAATTTTTAAATTCAATATTAAAAGCACTTTTAAATTTTAGAAATTCTAAATATTTATAATTTATTATTAAAATTATGACTCCTTTTTAATAAAGACGGAAATTAAAAAATCCGGAAATGTATAACTCTAATAATTTGATTTCAATTTAAGAAATCATTCTCCTCCCTCTTCATATTTTAAACCGTTCACTTTTATACATAAAATTGAATAAGATCTATTATTAATTTTATAATGATTTTATTCCATAAATTTCTATTCAAAATTCACAATTCATTTTAAATTTATTATACAAAATTATTTTTATTTTAATTAAATTTAACCATTCATTTTATGTCAATTAAATCAACTATTTTGAAAATATTTTTTAAATTTAAAACTCACCAAATTTAATTTAATTTTTTTTTTTGAATTTAAAATTAAATTTTATAATAAATTTCCTTGTTAATTTTAATTAATATAAAATTATAAAGAGAAGAAAAGGAACAATACAATCGTTACCGGACACCGGTCAACAACAAATGAAACTAAACAACGTGTAAGTAAATTAGAAAATTCTTAATTTTTTTTTTTATTATTTTTTTTTTTAGGCAAAACAATGAGCAGAAAAATAGTCAGAAAATCAAATCAGAATAGAAAATGAGAAGAAAAACAAAAAAAAAAAAATTTAAACTCACGCGATATTCACTCATTTTCATATCAATAGCGCAGTGTATGTACTCTGTACTCTTATTATTTTGATTACAGTTTAAAGGGTATATGAAAAAAAAACACACACAATTATTATAATTGTATATAAAAGGATGAGAAATAATATAATAGTGAAGATAAGGATAGAAATATGGCAATATGTACTTACTTGGAGATATAAGGGTTTGAATGTGAGCTGAGTTGCATATAGTGTTAATTATGCATTTTTAATAATTCTGTCCAAAATGAAATTCTCCTATAAATTTTTCATAATATTGTATTTATTTTTTCTTAAAAAATTATAAAAATTTTTTAAAAAAACTTATTAATAACTCATATACTCGTATTTCTCTCAATTTTATGCTATCACATTTCTATTTTGAATAGGGTTCATTATATTAATTCATTATATTGAATTCATTATAATGAATTAATATAATGAGTGAATATTTACAAATAAATCATAATCAAAATTATTAAAAGCACTCTAAAAGTACATTATTGAATTAAAATGATTTTTAAAAATAATAGAATTAATTATAGTTCTATAGTGGATGAGCATTTTCCAGACCATAAAATAATTTTGGAAAAGTTGTGTTTTGGAAATTTCTAATACAAGCTGTGTATTAAGATAAATTGTCATCATTTGTAAAAATTCTGTTCATATATTAAAAGAATATGTATGTATGTGTCGTACATTAAATGGTCAAGTGAATAAAAACTAAAATATTTGAAAGTAAATGAATAATAAATAAGTAAAGGTTCAATATTATAAGCTATTAATAATTAAATACTAATATTGATAAAATTTTCCTCAGGTATTTACTTAAGTATTTTTAAAATAATACTGAGAAGTATTATACGAGTACTCAGTTATAATGCTTTTCATTTCTATAATAAAAATTCAAAAATATTGAAGAAAGCTATGTAATTGCCTTCAGTTTATAAAATGATTGTCTTTCATTACTGTAGGTGAAGAAATCTCAGACCTGATAAATCTCGAAAAAAGGCGTCTATGTTTGTTCTGGAACGTGCATACAAAAAATTTTCTTTTAGCACAAAATCTAAAAAAGCATTT